CTCTTGCTCTCTTCTCTCATGGTTTATTGGCTTTCTTTAGTGATATACTTGGGTTCCTTTCTCTTTATTTTTTTTTGTATTAGTGGTTTTTGATTTGTGGTTACCATTAGGTTTGAGTATAACATCTTATGCATATGGCAGTCTGTATTAAGTTGATGGTTGCTTAAGTTTGAACCCATTCTTCCCTCCCCACTGTCCACACATTTTAGGTATATGGTGTCATATTTTACATCCTTTTATTTTGTGAGTCTCTTGACTGATTTTTGTAGAGATACTTATTTTTACTGCTTTTGTGCTTCCTACTTTCCTTACTCCTACTTAGGTCTTTCCTTTCCACTCAAGAGTGTCCCCTTTAATATTTCTTGTAGGGCTGGTTTAGTGGTCATGAATTGCTTTGTTTGGAAAACTCTTTATCTTTCCTTTTCTGAATGATAGCCTTGCTGGATAGAGTATTCTTGGCTGCAGGTTTTTTTCTTTCAGCTCTTTGAATATATCATGGCACTCTCTTCTGGTCTGCAAAGTTTCTGTTGAAAAATCAGCTGATAGCCTAATGGGTTTCCCTTGTATGTAACTGCTTTCTTTTCTCTTGCTGCTTTAAAATTCTGTACTGCTACTTCTTTGCCATTTTAATTACTATGTGTCTTGGTGTGGACCTCCTTGGGTTGATTTTGTTGGGGGCTCTCTGTGCCTCCTGGATCTGGATTTTTGTTCCTTTCTCCAGATTGAGGAAATTTTCAGCTGTTATTTCTTCAAATAAATTTTCTGCCCCCTTTTCTCTCTGTTCTCCTTCTGGGGTCCATATAATGCAAATGTTACTAGTCTTGATGGTGTTGCTGAGTTCCCGAAGTCTTTTTTCATTTTTCATTATTCTTTTTTTCTCTCTCTTCTTCACCTTGATTGATTTCCATTACTCTGTCTTCTGGATCATTGATCTGTTCTTTTGCTTCCTCTAGTGTACTGTTTATCCATCTAGTAAATTTTCCCCTCAACACTGCTTTTGTTGCATCGTGTGAATTTTGGTATGTTGTGTTTTGTTTTCATTCATGTATAAGTATTTACTAATTTACCTTTTGATTTTTTCTTTGATCCATTTGTTAAGATGTGTTGTTTAATTTCCCCGAATTTGTGAATTTTCAGTTTTTTTCCTTCTGTTATTGATTTCTAACTTTATCCTGTGTGGTCAGAGAAAATACTTTTTATGATCTTTATCTGTTTTTTTAAGAGAGAGACTGAGCACACAATGAGTGGTAGGGGAGGGGCAGAGGAAGTGGGAGAGAGAACGTTAAGCAGGCTCCATGCCCAGCACGGACGCAACACAGGGCTCAATCACACAACCTTGAGATCATGACCTAAGCCAAAATCAAGAGTCGGATGCTTAATCAACTGAGCCACATAGGTGCCCTGATCTTCATCTTTTAAGATCTATTGGGACTTAATTTGTGGGCTAACACATAGTGTATCCTGTACAATGTTCCATGTGTACTTGAAAAGTATATGTATGTTCTTGTTGGGTAGAATATTTAGCATATGTCTGTTAGATATAGTTGCTTTGTTTAAGTGTTTTGTTTTCTTATCTTCTGTTTAGTTGTTCTATCCATTGAGAGTGGGATATTGACATTTCCAATTATTATAAAACTTTGTTCCTTCAATTATGTCAGTTTTTCCTTCATTTAATTCAGTGACCTGTTATTACATGTATAACTTTATATTGTTATATCTTCTTATGGTATCGAACCTTTAATAATATATAATTTCCCTTTTGGTCTCGTATAACCTTTTTTTTTTTAAGATTTTATTTATTTGAGAGAGTGTGAGAGAGAGAACATGAATGGGGTGAGGGGAAGAGGGAGAAGCAGACTCCCTGCTTAGCAGGGAGCCTGATGTAGGGCTTAATTCTGGGACTCTGGGATCATGACCTGAGCTGAAGGCAGACGCTTAACCAACTGAGCCACCCAGGCACCCCCTCTTATAAACTTTTTTTTAAAAAAGATTTTATTTATTTATTTGACACAGAAAGAGAGAGACAGACACAGAGAGAGCACAAGCAGGGGGAGCAGCAGAGGGAGAGGGAGAAGCAGGCTCTCTGCTGAGCAGGGAGCCCGATGTGGGACTCAATCCCAGGACCCTGAGACCATGACCCAAGCCAAAGGTAGATGCTTAACGACTGAGCCACCCAGATGCCCCCCCCCCATAACCTTTTTTCTTTTTTTTTTTAAGAGTTTCTTTATTTATTTGACAGAGCCCCAGTAAGAGGGAACACAAGCAGGAGGAGTGGGAGAGGGAGAAGCAGGCTTCCTGCTGAGCAGGGAGTCCGATGAAGGGCTTGATCCCAAGATCCTGGGATCATGATGTGAGCTGAAGGCAGACGCTTAACAACTGAGCCACCCAGGCACCCCTCTTATAACCTTTTTTGATTTGAAGTCTGTTGTGTCTGATATTGGTATTACCCTCCCTGCTGTCTTTTGGTTACTATTTGCATGGAATATCTTTATCCATTCTTTCACTTTCCATCTGTTTTTATCTTTGGATCTAAAGTGAGTCTCTTTTAGACATTTTATAGTTGGGCCATGGTATTTAAGACATTCTGCCAATCTCTCTATTTGATTAGAGAGTTTAATCAATTTACACTTAAAGTGAATACTGATAAGGAGGGACTTATTTCTTTCATTCTGTTTGAATTCTATATATCTTACAGCTTTTTTTGTCCCTCAATCCCTACATTACTGTCTTCTTTTGTGTTTAATTTCTTTTTCTTTAGTTAAATACCTAAATTCGTTTCTCATTTCCTTTTGTGTAAATTATATAGCTATTTTCTTTGTGGTTATCATAGGGATTATGTTTAACTTCCTAAAATTATAGCATTCTTATTTGAAATTATACCAGCTTAACTTTGTTACTATACAAAGATTCTGCTCCTCTATAGCTCTGTCCCCACCCCTTTTGGTTATTGATGTCACAAAATTACATCTTTGTACAGTGTGTGCCCCTAAACAAAAACTAATAATTATTTTAAATGCATTAGTCTCTTATAATTATGTAGAAGACAAAATGTGGAGTTAGAAACCAGAATTAAAGTAGTATTACCTTTTATGATTGTCCATGTATCTACCTTTATTAAGATCTTTATTTCTTCATACAGCTTTGAATTATTTTATAGTGTCCTTTTATTTCACCTGCAAGACTCCCTTGAGCATTTCTTTCAGGCAAGTCTAGTGGTAATAAACTCCCATTTGTTTTTCTGGGAATGTCTTAATTTCCCCTCCTACTTTTGAAGGACAGTTTTGACAGATACAGGATTTTTGGTCAATTTTGTTTCCTTTAGCTCTTTGGATATATGGGTCCATTGCCTTCAGGCCACCAAAGATTCTGATGAGAAATCTGCTTATAACCTTACTGAGGATTCATTGTGTGTGACAGATTGTTTCTTTGATGCTTTCAAGATCCTCTCTCTGTTTTTGTCTGTAGAAAATTCGATTATGATAGGTCTTGGTGTAGATTTCTTTGAGTTCATCTTTGTTGGATTCTTTTTTTTTTTTTTAAAGATTTTATTTACTTATTTGAGAGAGAGAGCAGTAGGTAGGGGGAGAAGCAGACTCCCCACTGAGCTGGGAGCCCGACATGGGGCTCGATCCCAGGACCCTGGGGTCATGACCTGAGCTGCAGGCAGACATTTAACTGACTGAGCCACCCAGGTGGATTTTGTTGTTGGATTTGTTGGATTCTGTTGAGCTTCTTGGATGTGTATATTCACATCTTCCATGAAATTTGGTGTTGTTATTACTGTTTTATAATCTTAGCCATTCTAATAAGTGTGTGATGGTGTGTTATTATTAATTTGCAATTCTTTAATAATATATGATGTTGAGCATCATTATTTGCCATCTGTGTATCTTCTTATTCAGATCATTTGCCCCACAAATTGGCTACTACTTAGAGATTTTGTGCTTTCATTCCACATAAGTTTTAACATGTCTTCTCTCACAGTGGCTGCCCCTGCAGTACCCTTTTACAGATTCAGCCTGACACTTCCAAGTGGCATTACTAGCTTCCTTTGTGCCCCTGTTGTACTCTGTATGTTTGTTCATCTTAGCTTCTTTAACCTCCTGTTGCAATTGCACGTTTTAAACTTTGCTTTCTTCTGCAATGCTAAACGCTTCTCTCAGGCAGGAGTGTCTTTTATCCTTGTTTATATCACCTGCGCTTTTTGAGGCACCTGGAGGTAAGGAAGTGTTACAGAAGTAGGATGACCAACCATTCCTTTTTGACTATAGCTGTCCTGCCTTTAGCACCAAAGGTCCCATGTCTAGGGAAATCCCTTAGTCCTGGGTACACTGGGACACTTGGTTACCCTGTGCAGGTGGTTCCTAGGATAGTTTAAACAGTCAGAGATGTATCTGTAATGAATAGCATTACTGCTTCCATCTTTGTGCCCTTGTTGTACTCTGTATGTTCTTTTGTCTTAGCTTCTTTGACTCCCAGTTGCATTCACAGATGTTTGACTTTGCTTTTCTATGCAGTGGTGAACACTTCTTGTGGACAGGATTGTGTTTTGTTCAAGTTTTCTTTTAAGGATTTATTTTATTTATTTGAGAGAGAGACAGAGAGAGCGCATGAGCAGGGGCAGGGGCAGAAGGAGAGGGGGAGAGAGAATCCTCAAGCAGACTCCCTGCTGAGTGTGAAGCCCGACACGGGGCTTGATCCCTGAACCCTGAGATCATGACCTGCGCTGAAATCAAGAGATGGACACTTAACTGACTAAGCCACCCAGATGTCCCTTCACTCAAGTTTATATCACCTGCACCTTGCTGAGTATCTGGCACCTGGTATTCTCATATGTTGAGAGAAAGGCTGACTGATTTAGTATACATTGATGGAATGTTTTCAATAAATTTTTGCTTTTCTCACAAAGTAGAATATAAACAATGGACATCCTAGGCAGTTTGTTGTTTCCCAGAAACTCAGTAAGGAATTTGAGATTGAATAGGAATGTGCTCTTTCAGGGACCATTGTCATTCGTGGATGTGTTTGTGGACTTTACCTGGGAAGAGTGGCGGCTGCTGGATCCCACTCAGAAGCACCTGTACAGGAGTGTGATGTTGGAGAACTACAGCAACCTGGTGTCCCTGGGTAGGAGCTCCCTCCCTGAAAGGACTGTATGTAATCTCCAGGCTTCCCCTTCTTGGTGGCGGAAAGCTGGGTGGCTTTTGCAACATTCTTAGTGATTTTGGATTTATATTTAAAGGCCAGATTTTCTTAGTCTCCCTTTGGCATCAGAATATGCTAGTTGAAAATGGTCTTCACTTTCCCATGGGGCAGAAGGGCAGCTTTATCATGCTGCCTCTAAACTGACTCTTCCCCCTTCTTCAGGGTTCGAGGTAGTTTTGGTCCAGGTTGGTTGTGATTTTCCATTCACAGGGTATCAAGACAGCAAACCCGATATCATCTTCAAGTTGGAACAAGAAGAACTGTGGATGATGCAGGCCCAAATCCCAAGTCAAGGCCATCCAGGTGAGTGATGAGGATATTTAGATCTTTTCTTCCTTATTCAGAATTGATGTGAATTCTGATGTGCCATACACCTCACGTTTGTACTTTTTGTCTCATTCGTAACCATTCTGTCTTAGTCCATCTCTTCCTCTCTGGAATTCTCTGTTTCCTGTGTACTTTGCCAGGACAGTAGACTCCTTTTGTTACGCAGTTAAACAGGCTTTTTTCTCTGTATCTCTCTTGATGTGACTTTCACTCTTCCTTCTACTTTCTTTTTTTTAAATTATATTTTTAAAATCTCTTACACTTATAGTCAACAGCCATAGTCCCAACATCCTTCCTTCTCCTTGAAATCTATTAGGAGAAGTCATCACTGTCCCTTCTAAGTGCATTCCTACATCCCTGGATACTAGTCATCCTCTTTTGAGCCCTCCCCTCCCCCTTCTTCATGGGCCACCCCATGGAACCCACTCACACACTACATGATGAAGTGCTTATTCTTTTCATGCTTTACTGGCTTCTCTTGTTCTTCCCTCTGAGTCCAAAGGGACTTTCCATATTCACTGCTTTTCTTATATATTGTAACCTTTGAAAGACATCCATTCTGAAGATTTAAGCTGTTTTTCTCTTTTGGTAATTGACAGCCCGTCCCTCTTTCATCTGGCCTTTGGTACGGAGTTTGATTGGTCCATTGGGCATCTTTCTTGCCATGTGCCACTCCTTTGTCTCATTTTCAGAAACTGGAATTGTTTGTCGCATTGCTCCATAGCTACATCGTACTTTCTTCTCACCTTTCTGATTGTTTATTAATTCTGCTCTCCTTCTAGCTCTTTCTCTTGGCACTGGAGAGTCAGCGTAAATCTCCTTTATATGCAATTTTGTTCACTAGTGTTGCTGAAATCTGTTAATGTTTTGGTTCCCTAAAAAGAAGTCTTTTAAGGCCCCCATATTCCCAGTTCCCACCCAAAACAAGGCCAGTATCTCATTTCTTGATCATTCTATTTATTAACCAAAGGTATGCATCTTACTCCTTTTGTTCATCTTGATATTGCTGTCAGATAGGTTTCCCTGACATGGTTAATCTGTCACAGGCATGGCAGAATGAATCCAGTTAGTCTTTGTATCATTAGGATTATTTTAGCTGTAATTTCTGATTAATCCCAAATCAACCTATGAAACAGAAGTTATTTATTACCACACATCACAAAACGTCCTGCATTGGGGCAGCTGTAGGGTTGACTAAGTGATTGATTCAGTAAATCACCAAAGGTCCATCTCTACCCTGCCATTTTCCTCAGGTCCACTCCCTTCGTGGTCATCAGGTGGCTATTACAGTTCTAGCCAACACCTGCAGATATACCACTGGCCAATAGAATAAGTAAACTGCTTTTCCCCCATGGCTCTTTTTATCAGGTGGTAAAGCCTATTCCAGGAAGTCTCAGCAAACTTGTCATGCTTAGTGGACTAGGTTTTTATCACATACCCCTGTCTGAATAAGACTCTGGCAAGGGAAGTGGGCCCACCACTTGTTGGCTCCAATAAATGATGCTTCATCTTCTGGGGGTGGGGTAGAGGTAGCAGTGGTGATGGGTCCCCATTTCCCTGAGTGAAACACATGGCCTTAAGGATGGGTTTGGGGGAAAAGTCAGGCTTTGCCAGTCAGGGAAAGGGAGGAGGGATTGTGGGGTAGGCAGCACTATCTGCCTTCATCCACCTCTTTGGCTAGGCAGCTTCTAGTCATACTCTTCTTCCAATCCATCCATCTTCAGAAATATTTCACCACCCATTTTCCTTCTTGTACTGTATTAATGGAAGTCTTGAATCTTTGTTCCCAGATAACGTCTGGTAACATACAGTTAAAGCTAAGTTATTCATGTACAACCAAGCAGACAAGTACAGAGTGGTAGAGACACATGCAGCGTAGGTACAATAGGAGCTCCCATTCTGGGAGAGCAGCCACAGTGAATGCCACATAGAAGTCTGGTTTGCAGTGTGTTAACACCCTGGTTGGGCAGTTTGTGCCAGGACTTCCTGCTGTGGCAGGGGCCTAGTGAGCCCTTGGTTCTGCTCTCTGAGCATAATTCCGTTTTCCATTGTCTTCTGTGGCTACACTCAAGATGGTGGTTTGGGAGAATGCTATTCTGTAGCTTTAGAATCAATTCTGTTGGTGCAAGTGGAGTTTCCAGGGATTACTTGAGAACCACAAACAGTAATCATCTTCAGTCATGTTTAAATAATATTTAAGCTTAGAAATTCTGTCTTCTATACATTGGCTTTGGTATTGTTTCCTGATTTTTGGAATTCTTTGAAATTTCCTTTGAGATACCAACCATAATATCATTATCTGCCATTATTGTTGCATAAGAGAATGCTCAACAGAAAATGTGTTAAGGTTTCCTAGGAAATCAAGAAGTCAGAGCTGTGGCTAACCAGGGGAAGTAGGACGGTTACGGTTCCAGCCACAGAAGGGTTACATGGTAGAGATTAGGACAGACTTAGTGTCCATGAACTCTGAAAGTCTACAGGGATAAGACGATTAGCCAAACACATGAGCAAATCTGATTCCCAGGCAAAGATTAATTACTCTCTGGCCTATTTTCTTGATGGAAACATTTCTGAGTTTACAACGATGGAATAGCCAGTAACACTCCCTCCCAAGTCATCATGATAGTCAGAAGTTCCCAGCATTCATTTCTCAGTGCATCCAGGAGGAGGTAACTCCCCAACTTGGGAAAATACAATTTGGAGACTGTGCAAAATGAAGAGTGATCAGATTTGAGAGATAGGGAAACCTGGAATGAGGTATTAAGGTCCTCTGATCTGCCATCTCCAAGCCTGACTTGCTGCCATATTCTCTTAATGCTGTTTCCTCTTTGTTGCCTTGGTCAGCATATTACTTTAGGACATCTAGATCAACCATTCTCCTGGTCAGCCTCCAAATACTTGCCATTGTGCCTGAGGACTGAGTCCTGTGTCTTGTTCTCTTTCTACTTTCTTTTTTTTTTTTTTTTAAGATTTTATTTATTTTTTGACAGAGACAGCGAGAGAGGGAACACAAGCAGAGGGAGTGGGAGAGGGAGAAGCTGGCTTCCTGCTGAGCAGGGAGCCCGATGCAGGGCTTGATCCCAATACCCTGGGATCATGACCTGAGCCAAAGGCAGATGGTTAACGACTGAGCCACCCAGGCACCCACCCTCTCTACTTTCTAATTTTGGCTTTTGGATTTTGTCGTCAGCAGCGTTCTGTTCAGCCTGCCCCCTCTCGGTGTTCTATTCCGCCCAGGTAAAACCACTTTCATCCCTTCTAGCTTTTTTTTATGGTATTCGCTTCCATATTTCTAAATAATCAGCTTATTCTACTGCACCTTGATTTTTTCCCTGAATGATGATTATTCAGTATAACAGTGTAATGATTTAATTCTCTTTCACCTCCCCTTCTTCCACACTCCCCATGATAGGCACACTGTCTCCTTATACCCCAGTCATCCTACTAAAAGTTACTTCATTTGGGTTAGATCAGTCTTCAGTTCTTACATCGTTATGACTATGTAATTTCTATTCACAGGAGAATCATGCAAATATGCAATGGCTAATTTTTGTTCATACATCATTTTTTTTCTTTTGAGTTGTTTTATTTGCCTGCTGAGGTTTCTCTGTTCTTATCGTTAGTGTATTTTTTGTTAACCTCAGACTTCTCTTCACGTGTCTAAATATTCCTGTGCTACATTCAGCCACATTAGTGATTCTGTCTGTCTCTTCCTGGTGATGTCACTCCCTTGTCCTTCAACTGCTCCAGCATGACCCTAGTTTACCTCGTACCCTGGCTGTACTAGTGTTTTATCCTGGAGTCTCCTTTCAAATTTTATTTTCCATATTTATTCTGTGTCATCTTTTTTCTTAGTTTGTTTTGTTGGAGCACCTGTTCGAGTAGCCTCCTGTGAAAGAGTGCATGTAACATAAAATTTGAGACTTGTGCCTCAGAAGATGTTTATACTTTACTCCTGAATGCTCTGCATTTTGTCCTCTAATGATGCTAATGTCATTAGATTAAAGTTAGATGCCATTCTCACTTTGATCCTTTATACGAAACAGTTTTGGTTTCTCTGGAAACTTTACTACCTGCTGCTTGTCCTCAGTGTTGTGAAACATCACACTGATTTTCCTCGTGTGTCTATTTTCATGTATTTTGGTATGCAGTAGAACTTCATTCCCAGGAGGACTGTAAACTGATTTGCAATGTTTTCTGAGTTTCTCCTGAGTTTTCAGCACCGTGATTGGCACATAATAGGCATTCAGTAATTATTTGTTGAAAGAATATAATGCTGAGATCCCTTCCAACTGCTTTATATTTTTCTTATTTTTACTTGTGCCTATTTTGCTTTCTTTACCAACATTTTAAAACTTAAAACCATTTCTAATCATTGTCAGTTTTCTATGCCTATCTTTATTTTTAGTTTTGTTTGTTTTCCCCAGCCAAGAGTTTTGGTACATCTATACTTGAGATTTTATTTATAATCAGATCCGATATATGAAACTTAAAGTGTACTCTCTTCACATGGCATTTTTAAGGTAATTTTATGCTATGCCAGGTTCATGTTATTTTTAACGTAAAACTATTTTCATTGCTAGAAAAAGTCTGGGAAATTGATGATCATATGGAATGGCATCAGGAAAATGAAGGCAAGCTGGAAAGTGTGGCAAAAGGCTATGAATGTCCTACATTTGGAAAACTATGTCTTCTTACTACAAATTATGTTTCTTCAAGACAAAAGCTTCATAAATATATCACACGTGGAATGAGTTTTAAATATAATATAGATTTCAATAGTAATTATGCTGGAAAGAATCCTAATGAGTTTCGTGCATATAGGGAATCATTCCACCATTCTAAACATGAGCAAACTGTTATTGGAATAAAATATGGTGAAAGTAATGAATGTGGAAAAACTGTCAACAAGAAGTCACAACTCATATGCCAACAAATGTATGTAGGAGGAAAGCCTTTTGAATGCAGTTTTTGTGGGAAGACTTTCAGCAGTAAGTCATACCTTGCAGTGCATCAACGAACTCATGTAGAAGAGAAACCCTACAAATGTAAGGGATGTGGGAAAGATTTCAGCAGCAAGTCCTACCTCACTGTCCATCAGAGAACTCACACAGGAGAGAAACTTCATGAATGCAGTGAATGTGGGAAATCCTTCAGTTTCAACTCACAACTTGTTATACATCAGAGAATCCACACAGGTGAGAATCCCTATGAATGCTGCGAATGTGGAAAAGTATTCAGTAGGAAAGACCAGCTCATTTCACACCAGAGAACTCACTCAGGACAGAAACCCTATGGTTGTAATGAATGTGGTAAAGCTTTCGGTTTGAAGTCACAGCTCATTATACATCAAAGAATTCATACAGGAGAGAAACCCTTTGAATGCAGTGAATGTCAGAAAGCCTTTAATACAAAGTCAAACCTTATGGTACATCAGAGAACCCATACAGGGGAGAAACCCTATGGTTGTAGTGAATGCGGAAAAGCCTTTACTTTCAAGTCGCAGCTCATTGTACATCAGGGGGTTCACACAGGAGTAAAGCCCTATGGGTGCATTCAGTGTGGGAAAGCCTTCAGTTTGAAGTCACAGCTCATTGTGCATCAGAGAAGTCATACAGGAATGAAACCTTATGTATGCAGTGAATGTGGCAAAGCCTTCAGGAGCAAGTCGTACCTCATTATACATATGAGAACTCACACAGGAGAGAAACTCCATGAATGCAGTGACTGTGGGAAAGCCTTCAGTTTTAATTCACAACTCATTATACATCAGAGAATTCACACAGGAGAGAGTCCATATGAATGCCATGAATGTGGGAAAGCCTTCAGTCGGAAATACCAGCTCATTTCACACCAGAGAACCCATGCTGGGGAGAAGCCCTATGAATGCAGCGACTGTGGAAAAACTTTTGGTTTGAAGTCACAGCTCATTATACATCAAAGAACTCATACAGGAGAGAAACCCTTTGAATGCAGTGACTGTAGCAAAGCCTTTAATACAAAGTCAAACCTTATTGTTCATCAGAGAACTCATACAGGGGAGAAACCCTATGGTTGTAGTGAATGTGGAAAAGCCTTTACTTTCAAGTCGCAGCTCATTGTACATCAGGGGGTTCACACTGGGGTAAAACCTTATGGATGTAATCAATGTGGAAAAGCCTTTAGTTTGAAGTCACAGCTCATTGTGCATCAGAGAAGTCACACCGGAGTGAAACCCTATGGATGCAGTGAATGTGGAAAAGCCTTCAGGAGCAAGTCGTACCTCATTATACATATGAGAACTCACACAGGAGAGAAACCACATGAATGCAATGAATGCGGGAAATCCTTCAGTTTCAATTCACAACTCATTGTACATCAGAGAATTCACACAGGAGAAAATCCCTATGAATGCAGCGAGTGTGGAAAAGCCTTTAATAGGAAAGATCAGCTCATTTCTCATCAGAGAACTCATGCTGGAGAAAAACCTTATGGATGCAGTGACTGTGGGAAAGCCTTTAGTAGCAAGTCCTATCTCATTATACACATGAGAACTCATTCAGGAGAGAAACCATATGAATGTAACAAATGTGGGAAGGCCTTCATTTGGAAGTCACTACTCATTGTACATGAGCGAACTCATGCAGGGGAAAGCCCTTATAAATGTAGTCAATGTGAGAAATCCTTCAGTGGAAAATTACGGCTCATTGTACATCAGAGAATGCACACAAGAGAGAAACCCTATGAATGCAGTGAATGTGAGAAAGCTTTCATTAGGAAATCCCAGCTCATTGTACATCAGAGAACTCATTCAGGGGAGAAACCCTATGGATGCAATGAATGTGGAAAAACCTTCTCTCAGAAATCAATCCTCAGTGCACATCAGAGGACTCACACAGGAGAGAAACCCTGTAAGTGCACCGAATGTGGGAAAGCCTTTTGTTGGAAGTCACAGCTCATTATGCATCAGAGAACTCATGCAGATGAAAAACTTGATGAATTAAATGTAAGAAAATTTCTTCCAAAACTCAGTTCATAGGAAATACCAGCAAATTCTTATAGAAGAGAAACTCTATAAAATGAGATCATCTCATTGTACACCAGACAACTAATACTGAATAGAAACCTATAAATGCACAGCATGTGCAGGGTCACCCACAGAAAGCTGCTTTTTACACATCTCCCCCCCCACCCAGTAAATGCACACAGGAATGTTACGAATTTAGTGAACTCTGTGAAAGTTTTCAGCATCAAGTCATACCTTTTTTAAAGTTTGTACAAGTAAGGAACAGTATCAGTGAAGTGAATGTTGGAAAGTTATTTTTTTACTGTGATAAAATTTGCAAAGAGGAAGTTTCATAAAGCAATTGAATATAGAACGCCCTCCTTTGAAATTCATATTAAACAGTAGGATTTTCTTAACAGGATTTTAATGAGAAAATGGAAAGCCAATGAATGACAGAATTATCAAAATTACACATACTTTAGGTATCAGAAACTCATACCTTGGAGAAACTAGTATAAATTAGGGAAATTCTTGATCTAGGAAAGACAAACTTCCATTAAAAAATAATAATATATGAATGAAGAGCTATGAATATGTCAGATGGGGTAATAGAACACTCGGTAGAAAGGTTCCCCTCGCTGTTATTTTGATTATTTTGGAAAATAATTTCCTTTACAAAGTATTGTGAGGGAAATTGTGTCCCAGATGTTCCAAATTGTTAGGAAAGGGTTGGAGAAAACACTCAACTATAAATGATAGGCATGTCCAAAATAGAATATAAAGATTTTTCTTTTTACTGTGTAAATAAATGCAGTCGGGATAACCAGAAATACATCGTAAGACCTACAGGGATATTTAGATGTTATCTTCCTTTGTACTATATGAGTTTTGTGTAGTTTGGCATTTTACTTGTGAATGTCACATATGAAAGGTAAGTTAGATACATGCCATTGCCCAGGGACTTGTACTTAGCAACATTGTTTTTAACAAATACAACTTGTTACTAGAATAATATGATTTATTAAAAATACATTTCAATACTACAAACCTTTTCTACTATTTCTTACCCTTTGTAAGTGGGCCTGGCAACTACCTCTTTAGTTATATACATCGGTATAGTGCACAATCGATGTGCTTGTGTAGCTGGAATGTGTTCTGTCCTCACCATTTGGAACATATTGATTTTCATTAAGATAATCTCTCAGTGTAAGAGGTCATGATGGGATCATCATTCGTGGTGCCCTGCCAAGGAGTCAGCATGATCATCAAAGTAGGCTGAGCTGTTTATTCCAGTTTTCAGTTTTCTAATGGACTCCTGAAGTACCAAAAAGCAAACTGAGCTTTTGTTTTCTGGTAACATTTTCCTGCAATTATTAATTAGTTCCTTCTATATAGACTAACCAGGATAGCTTTAGTTATTGTCACTCTATAATTCTAGAGCTCTTGTGTTCTTATTTGAGTTACCTGGTATGTGTTTAAAGGATACATGTAAGTCATGCTGCCGATATGTGTACAGGCACATGTCATTTTATTGTGCTTTGCAGGTAATGTTTTCTTCCCCCCGCAAAGTGAAGGCTTGTGGCAACCCTGCATTGAGCCAGTGTGTTGGCTCCATTTTTCCCGCAGCATTTGTTACTTCATGTCTCTGTGTCACATTTTAGTAATTCTGGCAATATTTCTCATTTTTCATTACTTCTTATGTTGATCTGTGATCACTGATTATGACTTGCTGAAAGTTTAGCATGTTTTAGCAATATTCTTAATTAAGGTGTGTACATTGCTTTTTTTTTTTAGACATAATGCTTTTGCACACTTAATAGACTACAGTGTAGTGTAAACATAACTGTTACATAGCTTTTGTATGCATTGAGAAACCAAAAGAAACTCATTTGACTCAGTTTAGTGCTACATTTGCTTCATCGTGGTGGTCTGGAATGGACCTGGAGTATCTCCAAGGTAATGCCTGTATGTATAGCTGTAGAGTCAGGATGGTAAAAAGTCATTCTGCTACTTGCCTTCTTACGAAGTCTGTTTTCTTCACCAGTTTCCTTACATGAAAGAGCATTTACCTGAAAAGAGTTGGGACCATGCCATTTAGGGTTGTGTTGGAGGAATATGACTATTCCAAACTGCAGATATTTCTGAAACAGCCTCCACTTTCTACTCTTTACTTCAGGAGGGAATCCTATCTTTTACCCAAAGAAGCTGTTTCTTCTTTGAAGGAGGTATTTAATGATTTTTGAATGCCTGGTCCTTATTGTGTTCAGCTTATTATATAAGATCCAATCTAAAGATAATGTGGGGTGAAGAAGGATGGTTCACAGAAGGGAAAAGAAAACTTGCATAAAGAAGGAATGCCAGATATTTGTAAAGTATGTCCCCCAGATCTGGAAAATATGAATATGTATTTTGTCATACATGTTCTGAGGAAGATTCACACATAATGAAGAATGAACACCTAAGAGAAAGTCTAGATTTGCGTACTACTACCCCGTGTCAATTAGATTTTAAAGGTTTCTGTATTGTGTGAGGAAATCCACATGCAGCGTTACCCAGTAGAAGCCAGAAATGTTGACATAATGTTGAAGATAGAAATCAAATACTGTGGGAAAGGCTAATGTTAACATTAAGGTCTTAATCTTAAATGAAAAAGAAAATTTAGGGCTCCTGGCTGGCTCAGTCAGTGGAGTGTGCAACTCTTGATCTCAGGTTTGTGAGTTTGAGCCCCATGTTGGGTGTAGAGATTGCTTAATAATAAAATCTGAAAAAAAAGAAAGGAAAAAGAAAGTTTACCAGATAAATGAAATTTAACAATGAATAGATCTACAACTAGTAAACAAAAAGGAAAAGTAAAAATTTGAATATCTGGCTTGAAAATCTACCTAGTCCTTCTAACCCTGCCCCAGCCCCAGAACAGAAAGAAGTTCCAGAGACTTTTAGTAATAGTTGATAATTCTCAGGAAAATTCAAGGAATGATAATCCAGCATTTTACAATTTTTCCCCAAAATCGATATGTGGGGGATAAATGACTTGCAGCTCATATTTATGAACATAGTTGAAAATAAACTAAATGTTAATGTAGCATTAACAAATGCTAATAATGTGGAGGGTTTCTTTGTTTAAGTCATGACAATACTAAGTGTAGCAGATCACTAGTCGTGAGTCCAGTATCCCTTCATTACCAGCAGAATCACTGTACTTTTCATAATGCCAGTGGCCCAGCCTTAAAAGCCACATTTCTCCACTGTCTTTGTAGCAAAGTATGATCTTGCTGCTAAATTCTGAGTAATGAGATAGAGGTTGCTGACACTGTCAAATGGGAAGGTTGTCAAGAAAACAGCTGAAGAAAGCCCCTCAGTGTCCTGTAATCATTCCTCACTTTAATACACAGCACACAGTGCTTGGAGATTGAGCAACCACTACAGAGCCTGGATGCATCTGGAAGACAGGAGCCGTCTGCTGCAGGGCTATCTGGTATACCAGCCCCACACCACCACCATCTGAGTATCTTCTACATAAGGGGAAACGAACTGTCTTGTTTAAACCACCTTTTCTTTTTTGGGTAGGAAGAGAGTTGGTTCTGTTATATGCAGTGGAATGTGACCCTATAAAAATACATTATGATGTTGGGAGATTTAATAATAGAAAATCTTTTCATAAAATTAACCACACTACCAGATATAAGAATGGCCATATGATTATCTCAATGTGTGTAGATAACACATTTGATGGAATTTAATACCCATAGATTATTTTTAAATATTATTAAATTAGGAATGGAAATTAAGTCCTTTACCTTTGCAAGGAGTATGTTCCAAAAACTGACAAATGTCACACTTATTGGTAGATATATATTCCTTTATATTAAGAAAAGTATACAGATGCTTATCACTTTTATTGAACAGTGTATGACAATTCTAGCCAATGTGTGAAAACTAAGGAATTGAGGGTGAGGGCAGGAAAAAAAGTTCCATTGTTGGAGATGTGGTTGTCTCTTTAGGAAAGCTAAAATAAGTTTCAGGCAAATATGTAGAATTGCAATTAGAGTAGGACTTGTTTTGGATATATATTTTCAACAATTCGTTGTGTTTTGCTTCTGGTTAAACTGGATAACCTACATACAGCATCTTAGAAAACTGAGAACCCAAGGCCAAATGAACATAGCGGTGTAAAGTAGGGAACACTTTATACAAGAAAAGAGAGTTGCTGCTCTTATCCTTGGTGAAATGCAGGAAGAGGAGAGGGCCAGCATGGCATATAGGGGTGAGACAAGTAAGTGGTTGCCTATGGACTGGGGTGACACATTAGAATCCCAAAGCCCCCACCGTGAAGGAGTGTGCAGCCAACTCTTTGCCATGGGTCTTCATGGAACCCTTGGTAGAGAAAGCTTTAAAAAATCCCATCGAGATGCCAGGTCCTCTAAGTGCAAGGCGGATACTATCTGAAGGCAGGAAGGTGGACAGGGCAACAGTTGAGGGAAACCCTTTAGAAGCAATCTGGACTTCTAGGCTGAGGGAGGGGTAGAGAACTGAGAAACACACTATCCCTTCCTGCCCCGCCCCCCCCCCCCCCGCCCCCTCATATAAGAGAACCATCCCCAGGCACTCAAATCTTTCTATTACAAAAGATGGGAGAAGGGTCAGGAGAACTGAGAGACTCCAAGGCATTATAATCCTTCCCAGAGGGCTGTCCTTAGAGAAGCCAGAGACTAGAAGCAGCACTGAAACATCTCTGGGAGCTTGGAAATCATAAGAATTGGAAAGCAAAGAGACCTCACCAACCCAGGAAGCCGTTAAGCTCTAATTGAGGCAAGGAGGTAGTTCACACAGTTGTGGAAGCTGGCAGCATACGACTATAACTGCTTTTCCTTCTCCTAGCTGTATACTCAAAAGAAGTGAGTGCTTGTGTTCACTCTAAAATGTCACAAGAATATTCATGGCATTTTTACTGATAATATATGAACTGCCAACAGTTAAAAGTTCCAACAGTTGAATGGATAAACAACTCGTGATATAACAAAACCATAGAATTCTACACCACAATAAAATACCCACCTTACAGACTCATTAGGAATGTGCTGTCTGCTCAGTAACTACTCCTGGCACTCTTAGTCCCTGATCCTTGCTCCACCTGACCTACCCCCAGAGGCACAGGTGAAGGGGCCCCGTTTGAGCAGAGCACCACTGTCTAGCCACCTCAGAGCCTGAGGCACAAGGGAAACTGAGTAATAATCATCTCGTCTTTTCAAACAATTTTATTATTTGTTCATTGTGGATTCTCTGGTGTTAATTTATATTTTTAAAAATATTGCATTAAAATATTGTTTATCTTGATTACGGAGTTTGTTTATGCTTCACTTGCCTCACCCTAGGCCTTATTTGGAAGATAAAGTACTCTGTAACACAGCCTCAACCTTAATAGATCTAGACTGTAGGGAGTATGGGCTCCCCCCACCTGCTGAGTCATTGCCCTAATATGGGGAAGCTGGACTCTCGAGAAAACAAGCATGGAGGCATGCCATGGTGGTGTTGGGGGGCCCTCTAGCGGGGCTGTTAGTCTGAACAGCTTCTGTCACAGTGAAAACAGGAGCCATTTCTAATGTCCTTTGGGAGGACATCAAAAACTAATTTGTACACTATTTTTAACACATTTAAAATCTGGTAAGATAGATTACTTCATATTACATTTACTTTTTAGAAAAACCTCTTGGGGGTGCCTCACAAGCTCAGTTGGAGGAACATGTGACTCTTGATCTTGGGGTCATGGTTTTGATCCCCACATTGGGTATAGAGATTACTAAAAAGAAATAAACTTTGGGGGGGGGAATTTCTGATGATTCTTATAGTTTTCCCCGATTAGTTGAATACATTTTTTAAATCCCTGATCCACAGAAGGCTGGGAGGCAATCTAGATCAGACTCCTAAGAACCTCTGTTTCACCCTGAACCTCTCTTCCTTCCAGGAATTACCTTCATCACCATGGGTTCCTCTGTGGGAATTCATGTCCATTCTCACTGCCCCATGAACCGCTCTTGATGGCCCCAGGGTAAGAACCTCTTGGGAGATTTGTCAGATTTGTTGCATGTCTGTTTGCATATTAGGGCGTTTTGTAGCTGTTGGAGACCAGGTTTTGGATCCCTTTTGAGTATTAACTAATTATCTCAATCCCATGAACTGTGCACCCCAGGTAGTCTTGGTCCTGGAGAGAACAAAATGTGGAAATAGCAGGTAAGTGTGCTTTAGAATGTATTATGTGCTGGTGATTGCAACCACATTCGAAAGCATGGAAGAACAGGAGAGAAGGCCTTATTTACAGTGAGCATGGGTCAATTACATTTTGTTGGAAGATCAAGCCTCTATTCAAAGTGAAGCTTATGAAGAGTTTGTCCTGATTTAGAAAACATAGAAATTGTTATGTGCTGAAGTTAAGAATATAGGCTTCCTGGTTTGACAGGTAAAAAGCCAGAGGACCTCTGGAAAGTGTTTTAAAATTCACTGGACCTATTTCTTTTATCAGTAACAAGGAAACAGTCTTAGCTCAGGTGTGGGGGTAGGAGGCTCAAACAATAACATCTTACTTGGGACATACTGAGTGTTCAGTAAATGGCAACCGAAAAAAATCAACTGATATATTAGTGAATTAGGATCATATAATTTATTGAATTACATTTGAATTTAATAACGTAGGTATTTTTACATTTTAGGTTCCACTGAGTTTTTCAATTCACTGGAGAGCAATCAGGAATATTTTGATTGAGCATCTAGTGTGTCCTAGAGAAAGAGCCTATGACTGCATTAACAGAAAGATTTCACTGTAAACGGGAGGGTGTGCTGCAGCAAATCTCTCCTTTCCCCTGTGCCTCACTAATACAGTTGACTCTTGAACATGCAGGAGTTAGGGATGCCAACCCTGTGCAGTTCAAAATCCCTGTATAACTTTTGACTTCCCAAAATCTTAACTACTGATAGGCTACTGTTGACCAGAAGCCTCAGTGATAACATAGTTAATTAACATAATGTATATGTTACATGTATTTTAAATTGTACTCTTACAGTAAGTTAAGCTAGAGGAAAGGTTGTTAAAATCATAAGGAAGAGAAAATATATTCAAGGTACTGTATTTATTTTTTAAAAATCCAGGTATAGGGGCACCTGGGTGGCTCAGTCATTAAGCGTCTGCCTTCAGCCCAGGTCATGATCCCAGGATCTTGGCATCGAGACCCGCATCGGGCTCCCTGCTTGGCGGGAAGCCTGCTTCTCCCTCTCCCACTCCTGCTTGTGTTTCCTCTCTTGCTGTGTCTCTTGCTGTGTCTCTCTCTCTGTGAAATAAATAAAATCTTAAAAAAAATAAAAATCCGGGTATAAGGGGATCCGTTATTTATTTATTTTTTTTTTAGAATTTTATTTATTCATTTGACAGAATGAGAGAACGCATAAGCAGGGAAGCGGCAGGCAGAGGGGGACGGGGAAGCAGGCTGCTTGCTCAGCTCCCTGCTCATGACCTGAGCAAAGGCAGACGCTTAACAGATGGAGCCACCCAGGAGCCGCGGACCCCATTAGTTCTAACGCATGTTGGTCAAGGGTCATCTGTACTTGGTCATTCAGGACTGTTTCCAACAACCCTGTTGTTTTCTTTCCACTCCTTGAAAAGAACCCTAAAGACAGAATCCTCTTTTTATAAAAAGTAGAAAACATGGGT